GCTTGTGAGATCATCTAGGGTTACTTTGATACTCTTGGGATCTGTGCCTTTCTGTGCTTCTGACCGGAGGTAGTTGATCAGCTTGATGATGGTAATCTCGTCCGCGTCTAGTGCAGACAGTCAGTAGTCATCCGAAAAGGGTAAGGCGTATAACGTGTAGATGAGCGTTCAACATTGTCAGACGTACCTGGTCCAAGTCCTTTGATCGTTGCGGGCAGATCAAATCCATTCTCAGCTTTGTTGTGCTCTACCATGTCCGACACACGAGTCCATTGTCGATCCGAAAATAGATCTTTGAAAGTAGTCGTATCCGGCTCGCTTGCGTCTTCGACGATGCTGCCGACCGAGCTCGCGGTGTCCGATTCAGTGTCTGACATGTTTTCTGGTGTGCCTTTTGCTCTTTTGGCGAACGCAGATATTTCAAATTACGCAAAAATTGCAATGAGTCGTGGTGTCGCGTCAAGTTTCCTTTGGTGGGGGAAGGCTCTGCGGTTAGTGTGCTTTTGTGGGCGATGCTGCGGGGTAGGTTCGTCGCGCCTGCCGTATCTTCTTTGCACCTCCTTTCATTCTCACCTATCCTTGCGCATGCCATCAACATTCATCATCTTCATCCGTGCCATCGAGTATACTGATAACCCCCGAGGAAACCGACTACAGCACGTTGAACAGCATTGCGAATTCCTTATTCTCTGCCTTCGTGGTGCAACACAACTGATCGCGCCTTCCATTATGCGACGCAGCGCCATGCCATCGTCATATACGTTATCCTCGTCAGTCCCGACTCCGTATCATTCTTCATCTTGCGCAATCGACCTTCGATCCAACTATCCGTAAATTATCGTGTCTCTCACCTTCAGAAGCTGAATCTAACTCCAGCGGCATGGGTAGTCACGCACAGGGGTCACGCCAGGTTCTGTTCTCATCCATTCTACGTCTACATCATGCTATTCATACGTAAATACGTTGCCAAATGTCGCTATTGGACAAGCCGGTTTGTTGCTCTGCGCAGATTCAATGATTGATAACGTCGTTCGTACCTTTCCCTAGTCTCAACGCCCACATCAAACTTTTACCGCGCTTTCGCTGCACCAGCCTCGGCCCGTTATCCTGATCTCGGCCGTGACAGCTGTATCTGACAGCTACTCATCAGAATCGTCCTCGAGCAGCCGGCGGGCGAGCTCAATGGCGTGGTCGGTCACACGTGGCTTCTTGGCGGGCGGAAGGGCGTCGACCTCCACGTCTGCTGCGCCCAAGACCTCGGCCTTCACGTCCTCGGGTTCCTTGTCCTCGACCTCCACATCCTCAGCTTTCACGTTCTCGGGCTCCTCCAAATCCTCTACTCCCTTCATGTGCTCGGGCTCATCACCGTTTTCCCCCTCCTCGTCCGAAGTCTCGCCAGCGTCGCTTCCGTAGCCATGCTCGACCTCCTCTTCGTCACTCTCGTCAGCAGCAAGCTCGGTCTGATCCTCGACTTCGTCGCTGTCGGAAGCCGGCGCGTCGCGCTTGCGTTTCTTGGAAATTTTGCTTGCAGTCGAAGTAACGCCGGCACCGTCGTAGTCTTCGTGAACCACAATGTCATCGCCAGTCTGTGTGTTCACAGATCGGAACTTGGGCTTGTATGTCTTGGGCTTACCGGTGCCTTTTCGGTGATTGGCGCGCTTCTCAACTGGAAACTCTGACAGAGGGATCATGTGTTTAGGGTACCGCTCCTCATTGCTCACCACGCCGCCACCTTCAACCAGCAGTCGAAAGTCTCGGGCGTGCTCACGAAGATACGCCATCGTCTTGTTCTTCGTCTCATGAGCAGACGTGATCTGTCCTCGGAGAGCGTCCAAACCACGATTCTTCCCACCAGCCTTGTTGATGGCTTCAACGATCTTGGACAAGTCGGCGGTGGTAATGGTGTCGTACGCGTCCAAACCCTTGGTGTGGACGAAGTCGTTGATGCCAGCGTACATGGCGCAGATCTCTGGGACGATCCAGTGATCACGGTTCTTCTTCTTCTCGTAGGCGGCGTTGGACCGGCGCGAGATCTGATCAATCCACTTGTTGTATGCGTCTTTCCATTTCTTGTCGTTGGGATCGATGTTGGTGAGTTTCGACTGGCCAACGTGGACGTGTTCGTATGCGCGGGTACGGGCGTTGAAGCGGCGGAGTGCGATGCTCGGGGTGAAGACCTCATTGATGCCCTTGAAGGTCCGCTCCCAACGGTTCTCGCTGACCTTGTTCCATTCTACCACGGGATTGTTCTTCTTCTCCTTGTCCTTCTTGGGAACCTTGCAGCTCTCGAGGTCAGGGAAGAAGATGCTGTCATCGGCTTCGTACAAGTCACGGTCGGCGGATTCGCGCTTCTCTGGGATTATGTTCTTCTGTATGAACCAGCTCTTGCCGTCGGGCATTTGGATCTTGAAAGTCGCCTCGATCTTGGTGGGGTCGGTATCGTGGGGCGCGAACGTCTCTTTCGGTGTAAGCTCCTTGTTGACTAGCTCCCGACCGGCGTAGGGTGCAGGGTCGTCCGACAATTCGCCATCGCTATCTTCATCAACTGCGACGGAATCGGTATTCGAAACATGTTCCGGCGGGCTGCTGGCGGGCACCTTGACCTTGGCCTTGCTCTGGGGTGTTGGCATCTCATTCGCGCTGGGAACCCCGCGGGCCAGGCTACCGATCAGGTGGGGCGACATCTTCCTGCGCCTTTGTCCTCTTGTGTAGGTTTATCGGGTGCGTACAAGGTATGTATTGGGATGCGTGGGGGTATGCGCTGAATGAGCAGAGTCGTGGCGAATGGTGGAGAAACCCTTCAGAGAAATCGTTAGTTAACGAGATTCAAACGTCGAGTTGGATAGACGAGATGGTTAAAAGGGTTGCAGCGCTGTCATCGCGTCCAGAAGTCGACAGCGTTGAAACTTACGGCGCGATGTCGACTATGTTTGCGGGGTATAATCGCGGAGTCAGATGCGCAGATATCACGCGTTACAGTCCTGAGCGCGCGCCAGATCGAAAGGTTTGCTGTGACCAAGTCCTTCCAATTTTCAGAGTAGAGGTTTCAAGGTGTGGTGACGGTGGCGCGGCTGGTCGCGGACTGAATTGAGCAAGATATACGCCAAGGAAGGGGAAAACTCAAGACTTCATAACAAGGCTTAACAAGTTGGGACTGTGCGCGCGTCACTGCCTGGCAGAAAAAGCCTCAAAAGGCTCATTCACTTCAGATGCTTCGCGTCCGAGGAACTGCATAGTCACTGGCGTATCAGGGCGATTCTGATTCTGCGCCTGGAACGCGACCCTGCGCGTGTTGTCGACGCGCTCAATAGCCATGAGGATACGCAATGTTGGAACACGATCTGACATTTGTTTAGGTGATCCACGCTGCATTGTATAATTGCGCGAATGAGTAGAGTGAGTGGATGGGAGATATCTTGGCATGTATACATTCACTGTCGACGGGTCTAGCTACCGTACGTAGAGACGCTGGAATACCTCGTCGAATCGATACTTCCAACTTTTTCTGGTCTCGTACTCTCGAGAATCGACGTCCCAAAGTCAAAGCGCACCTTATAGCAACGCCTTCTCGAGATATCAGCGTTCAAATCGAGTACAAATAAGCACAGCAAGCTGACACGGCAAAGACTCACGAGGCGAGGGCTTATTGCGTGCTTACTTTCAACGTCTTGCGATGACGCAGAGCGATTATAGAAAAAACGCATGATTTGCTAGGTCCACTGTCTCTCATTCCCAAACCACTTAGCCTACGCATGCGCCGACGAGCAAATCCTACACGTAAACCCCCCAGTCCACGGCACACACATCTCCCGTTCCAACTTCCCATCTGCGAAGCAGTTCCCCCTACACTCCTCCACAGTCGGCCAGCTCCCCTTCTCACTACACACCGTCTCCACAGGCTTCATCGGCTTCACCGGCGTCTGTCGAACCGGCGCCTCAAAGGGTACCGTCTTCGTAGGCGTTGTACGTACCGTCGTTGTTATAGTCGTTAGTTCTTGCGTTGTGTGGGCTGGTGTGGATGTAAGAGTAGGTGTCTGATAGACTGGGGCTGGCGCGTGTGGACATCTCGAGAGGCCGATGTTGATGCCGCCAAGTAGGGCGGCGATGAGTAGGGCTATGATGAGTATCGTGAAGGTGGGGATGAGGAATCTCTTCTTGGTGAAAAAAGAGTGTCTTTTGTAGAATGGGCGTGGAGGCAGTTGAGCTTCGTCGTCATGAGGGAAGTAGGGGTGGTTGGGATCGATGTGGTCTGCGGGGACGCCTGTGCGTTGGGGCGCGATGCCGGAAAGCTCGATGTTGGGTCGTTGAGACATGTTCATTGGTACTTCTGCGCTGTTATAGGTTGCTGGGTCGCTGTATGTTGATGTTGGTCTTTAGTATGCAGCGGTCAATAGGTTGCATAATGAGGAGGAAAGTGGCAGAGGACGTTATGTAACCGCTTTGACTAAAGTGAAAGAAAGGTAGCCAGCAAACCATTATGATCACAGCGCAAGCACACCGCTCCAAAACTGCACAATGGAAGTCTAGGTCAAAGTACAGCAAGACGTACAATATCGCTGTCATATTTATGCGTAGAGCTGACACTTCACTCATGGGTGTCGCAATGCCCAGCTCTTGATCAGAACGTGAATAGATTTGTAGCCCATTAAAAAGCGACGATGGCCTTCTAAAGACGTGTCCGGCTTGCTATTGCAAGATGAGCATGCACGCACAGTTACGACGTCTCATCTGCATGATCTCGAGGAACATACTTTTCCCAGTCCTCTTCCAACAGTCGTTTCGTCTCATCTGCATGATCTCGAGGAAAATACTTTTCCCAGTCCTCTTCCAACAGTCGTTTCGTCTCACCTGCCATTGTCACTTCATGTACGCAGTAAATGAAATGTCTTCTCCCTTGAAAGTCAAACCAAAACCGATCTACCTCACAACCAGTCATTGCGGCCTCTTCAAAGCCTATTGCGGTGATCGGACAAGCATGACCACGAAAGCGTCCCAGTTTGTCACTACAACATATTTTAGAAATGTGGCAATTAAAGGTGTACTGATCGGCCCATGCGAAGTCCATCACAATAGCAGCTGTGACACATACCCCCTCAACTCCATTCTCGGGTGATTCTTCTGCTGATTCGTCGAGACATTGGCTTTGAAGCATAGCTAGAACCAGGTCCAAGTAGAGTTGATCATTCGACTTTTCATAATCGACAGTAACGCGTTGGTCAACACGAACAAGACCGAGTAAGCCGTAGATATTGTCGCGCGGATCTGCGCAACTATTCAGCGCATACATGTCCAGTGCGGCAAACATGTCGAGATGTATGAAACCACCGATTCTTCGCAAAGAACTCTTGCAGATGATGCTATACGAGGTGTTAGGTATGGAGCGCTGGAGATGGTGATCCAGGGTTTCAAATCGACACTCCCATCCACGTGTGTCATTCACCAGCCAGACGCCTTTCACAAGGACCCTGATCTGCCTCGCTAGTATGAATTCTTGTACAATCCAAAGTCTTTCGAAGTATTCATTGTGAAGGATGTAAGCCAACGCCGCTTGTTCTCCAACATCCTTCCATGCACATGCAGCATCGTACATGTTTTCGAACTTATCGCATCCGCGTTTGGCGAGCCATTCGGGCGACGCGCAGGCTTTCTCAGATCCGCCGCCTAACCAAGCAACAACTGACGTAGCTTTGCTGTAGATGTCGCTCATCATCTGCACTTGGTGATTGCGCTCATCCGTATTCGACTGATCAATGCACAGCTGGTCAATCCAAAGATATTGGTCTGAGGGTGTCTTGTCGCTGCATTTCCGGAACTCAGTGAGAAATTTGAAAAGGTTGTCTCGTATCTCCAGCCTTCCGTTAGCGATGTAGATGTCATTGCTTGATGGTGGGCCCCAAACATAAGACAAGGCTGTGTATGGCGGGGCTTCTGAGATCTCGAAGACGCTGATATCGAGACGTATAGCGTCATCGTTCTCCAGCGGATCCAGAAGCGTGACAAGTCGTATTTGCTGTGTTGCATGGTCTAGTGACTGGTATTGGTAGTCGTCAAACGCGGGGTTGGCTGCGGAAGACATGTTCGCTCCACGGCTGCCTTGCGCCTCGACCTATCATGTCAGTACGTGTCATGTATGCGGCAATCACCCACATCACCTACCAAGGCACCATGCAGCAGACGAAGTAGACTCGGCGTACGATCAGACCTTGGGGGGACTTGTGGACTATGTGAGGTTTGTGATGATCGCGATAAGGAATTAATACAGCATATTAAATGTAAGCGGGGAAGATGCGCGTTCCAACGTGTTGCTGACTGCGTGGGCTGTGCAGACGTCTGTGGCTTGCTCGATAGAGAGTCTGGCCAATGAACAATGAAGCGCTATAGAAAGCGCTAGGCCTTACCAAGCTAGTGTCTAAGATAGACCCCACCATACATTGAACGCATAGCAGCGCTGTGACTTAATGAACTATAAGTATGAAGCCGTGTACGTAAGCCTACAGCTTCTGTTTCCTTACCGCTTTGTTGTTGGTCGAAGCGCATGTCCGAGCTCGGCAATCTGGATTCAGTGTCGAGTGAGAGATGTATACACTAACAGGTGATGACAGCCTATGTCTTCATCGTACTACCAGACTGTTGATACTTTGCTGACAAAACCGTACACTTGGACAAGGCGCCAGGATTGGGACGACAGTGTTATCATGAAAGACTCTTTTAAAGATTCGCAAACGCTAGAAACGTTAAGGAAAGCCCAACAACAAGGGTCTCCGTAACTCTTTAATTATATTGCTTCCGTAAAAGATACTTTTGCTTCTTAGAATTTCCTAGTCCTCATTATGGGAGCGCAATACTGCGAATCATGAGAGAATAATGTGGAAAAACATACAATGACCACACCGACGACATGAAAATGACGGGTATATAGCGCCTCACGAGAATATCGATTCAATCTCTCAAACCCTGGATGCGGGAACGCCGGCCCGAATGAGAAGTTCACGTATCCTCCTGATTCACGTGTGACTTAGCGCTGCAAGATATCATAGTACGCTGTAGACTTCAGCCTTGCCACTAGTCTTCATTGTCGTGTTCGTTGGTATAACTGTTGCGACGCTTGCGGGTCTCAGGTACTTGGTCGGGAAGTGCAGGTTCGCGCACGCGATCGTCGGTGGTCCGCGGACGGTTTCCTGGAAGTTGTCTGCCGAGGGGCCAACGGCGCTGCGGTGGTGGTGGCGGCATATTCTGGGGGGCAGTGAAGCTTCCGCCATTGCTGCCTGGGCCTTTGTCGCGTCGAGCCACTGGAATTCGGCTGGGTGGACCCTGAATTGGCGGACCGCGCATGTTGTTGGGCCACTCAGTGGTTGTGACTCCCCGGAAGTCTGCATGAAGGATAGAGGCAGGGGTGCGCATGCTGACGTCCGTCGACGTCCTAGCTCGCTTCGTGTCATACGTCTTCATGGTTGTATCACTCCGGACGGCCTGGCGTTTGGAGCCTGCTTTTGTATTGCGCTCATCGAGGGCTTGTGGCTATCAATCTGTCAGCGTTCATCTCATAGCGATAAAACTTCCGTCAAGCATACCTGAGCTTGTCCAGTCTTTGCATGTTGATGGGGTTGGTCTTTGGGACGCTGCCTCCGCTTCGTCTGCTCGCTGCTGATTCTATCTTTCTGCATTTGAAGGGCTTCCTTGTCATTGTCGAGACGTTTCTGAACTACCTCAATCCACATTTCCGGTGGCATAGTCAAGGTTAACTTCTGGAGAAGTCGCCGCGCTCGCTTTTGAAGAATGGAGTTCAGAACCTGTTCATCGATCGTTCCGTGTACCTGAATGCGAGAATCGCGCGGAAGCCTAATGGAGTCTAGTATGTTGCCAAATGAGCCGGTTACGGGCTGGTACGGACAATATTTGGCTATGTCATAGACCCCCTTTCCCGGAGTGACAGCGACGTTCCTCTTCAAGTCTTCGTCCCAGCAGTAGTATTCGTCGTCTCCCTCCTTTTTCAGTCCGAAGCAATCTACCCGGATAGCCGTAGACTTTGCCAATGGGCCGCTTCCGCCTGCGGTGCCTAACTGCAGGACCTCGAGCTCGTTCTCGTTCTCGTAACAATGGCGTACCTCGTCTTGAAACATACTGCCCCAAACTGCGTCTGTACAGCGTTGGGATCGTTTGCCTGGCAGATGTTCATAGATGGATAGTTGATGATCATGCCCTTTACGAATGCATTCTTCTGGACCAGATCGTAAAAGTGCCATCGGCGCTGTCGAGACGTCATCTGGGCGACAGGCGTACATGGCGATTCTCTTGAGCATGTAACCCTACCGCAAGGATGGAACACATCAGAGGTTGCCCGCTGGAGGGGAGCGGTCCGTTCGGATTCGGCAATGTCTCGGGTCGACGACATTGTCAGCGTTGTTGACTGCCAATAGGCCAGCGCAGAGGCGCCTGTCTGGAAAGGAAGTTGGGCCGAAGGGCGAGTTATTGTGGCGACCACGCAGGGTGTCGTAAATATGGATTGCACGGTCGTGAAACTCGCGCTCCTGCGGTAGGGGAATTGCGTGTTCTTTCTCCGCAGCGTAGCGCTGATAGTCTGTATATACGGAGGGCATCGCAGGGAGTCGAAGCCGCTCTGGCCATGTGGCGCTATACTGTTTCAGGAAAGAGAGATGGCTCAGATGTAAGTAAAATATTGGTGTTACTTAGTGAATGGACGACGGAGCGGAGCCCTACTTATACCGCGGTCACCTAGCTGATCAAGCTTTTTGCGCACTCGATTGCCCGCCCTCTCCGCAATCGTACACCCTGTAGCAATCTACTTTTTTCGCCGTGATCCTCGACAAGACCAAGACACTTAAACCTGGTTATTTCCACGACCGGGCAATCGACGCTTCAGGCAAGATTAGGCTTGCATTACACAACAACTTTCCTAACATGTCTACCACTGAGAGTGTTTTGAAGACCGCTATCAGCCTGTACAGGGCGGTAGCGGGCTATGTTCCCCTCTTCCGTCGCTGCGAAGGCCAGATCCACCGAGACAATGGACGCACTGGTAGTGGCGCTGAAGAGCGTCCAATTCCATCAAACGTCGAAATGTCGTCATTGCCTACTCAGCTTATGATCACCTCCGTCCAGTCTGGAAAAGTCAGATACGAAACGATGTTACAACTCCGATCCCAGGCGGACTCTATCAAAGCGGACATTGCGATGGTGAAGGCGAACGAAATCGACGCTCAGTCGACAGTCCAGTGCAAAAAGGCGGCTGTTGAGAGCTTAACCCGTCAACTGCAACGTCGGGGTGGCAGCGGAGTAACGAAAGCTCAGCAACGTTGCCTGAAGGTCTTAGTTCGCGAGCGCGACGCAGCAACGAAGACCAAACGAGAAATGCAAAGACTGGTAAAGTCTCTTACGAAAGAATACGATGGGAATCTCCGCTCCTTTGCTGAAGTCGTGATGGAGCTCCAGGATACGTTCCTTTTACCAAACGAGAAGGACAATGATGTCATAGCAGAGCAGCATGAGGACGGATTCGTGCAGGGAGAAGTGGGAGGTTTGGTACAGGAGGACGAGCAAGCTCGGACACAGGAAGACGGTGGTGTCCTCGAGGTGAACAGGGTCCAGCCGAACGATTCGCCAGGCACCGCCCAAGAAATCGAGAGTAGCAAATCTCTCGCCCGTAACCAGCCTGTAGAGGCTTCGCAACCCGACATTCATAGCATCGTGGTTACTGCTGCCTGTCTTAACCAGCAAGCCGAGGCCCAGTCTATCGACATCGCTGTTAACGACAATGAAACAACGTTGAACCCGCCAGTAGAAGACAAGGATGGCTCGCCATCCAGCAGAACAGATTATTCTGCTACCCACTTCGAAGACCCGCAAGATGTGCAGAACATGGCTAGATCAGAAAATGATGGCGATTTTGATGGTCGGACAGCCCATGAAGTGCAAGAAGTCAGGATCGGACAGGAGACCGGGGAAGCACTTCCCCACGATGATCCGTATATCAAAAGTTCCAAAGAAGAGTGGGATAGGATTGAGCAGGCCATAAAAAAGCTCGAGCGATGTGAGAAGACTTATTGGGAGAAGAAAGAAAAGTTCGAACAGCACTACAAAACGTTTGATGAAAAGCTGGATAAGTTCTGCTCAATCAACCCACGCTTGAGTAGAGCGGATGCAGAAAAGAAATTCGGTCGACATTTCCTCCAGGTAGGGGGTAATTTCCGTTGTTCTTTGGGTGTAGCAGAGACGTCGCTCAAGAAAGCCCGGATTGAGGCGAAAGAAGCAGGAGTCCACGATTGCAACTCATGGGACCAGGAGTCTGGCTTCCTTTCAGTGGCGGGTGAAGGTCCGGATCCAGAAGACACCGGATACCTGAGCGATAGTCGTGATCACGAAGTGGTGATGGAGTGGCTGCAGATGCCCCACCGCCCAGAAAGGATGCAGCCTTCTGAGTTCAAGTTCGCGACATCGAACGTGAGGGTCGACCCTTGGGAGAGCCATTCTACAAGGGGAGACTCAAGCAAACGGAAGAAGATAGACGAAAATGTCGACACTTGGGAAGTCCAGTCCTCCAAAGCGTACTCAAGCAAGCGGAGGAGGATTGAAGGGGATGTTCCTTGGGTGGCACCCAACGACAGCAATGACAGCGCATATGGCACTGCCAAGGAGGACAAGGGAGACCAGAAGCAATCGGAAGGTCCAAGGAAGAGGCCTCGCGCCAGGTCAGAGGTAGCCCACAAGCGACGTGCCCGATCATTCGACGCGCTTCCGGGTCACAAGGTTGTCAAAGAGATGTTTTCCGATCTGCCTGTAGAGGATCACAGCGTGAGTGTTGACCCCTCCGTAATAGTCGATACCAAGTACTGACATTTCCACAGGTTTGGATGAAGCGAGATTACCGAGAAGACGTCATCATGATTGATGACGAAACGATCGACGACGAGACCTGAGAGACCAGGTAGCAAACGGATGCATTGCGAACATCGAAGTCGGTGGAGTGGGAGGTGGTAAACCAGCCGCTGAAGCAGCTACGTGCTGTTGCCGGATGTAGCAAGTCGAGACCGGAGGCGTTGCGGAAATGATCCCAGAGGGAAGCGACCCATCGCGCGATCAATATAGGCAGCGTCGCAATCTTACAGAGCAGCAAAAACTGTTCCGGTGGCATATGCAAGACTCGTAGGCCACTGCGTCGAACGCGTCGTCGATGCAGAGAGATCAACCGGCGGAAAGGCAGAGCAGATGAAGTCGATGCAAAGACATCAACAGATACACCAAACAACAGCGCCAGACAAATCGGGAGGCCACTGGACCTGGTTCAGGGCGTTTGGTACGCATGCAAAGACATGCCGCCGATGCAAAGATATCGGGGAAGAACTTGGTGCAAAGACATCGGAGACAAGTCCGACGCCAAGACATCGGATGACACAACAGCCGAGAGGTCTGTGCACAAACTCCATAACCCTCGTGCCACACTACAGAAGACACACAGCACAAAGACTAGAGCGCGTATTTGACTCAGACTACGGACTGATCCTGATTCGCGCTGAGCTTCCACACACACAATCACGGTACTGCGGTGACACACCGGGCACTCCAGCGAACAACATTAAAACCCTGGAGCTGTCGCGATCATAGCATGTACCAAACGGGTTGGAATAGACGCAGTAGTAGTACTACCTTATACCAAAGAAGACATATAGCGCGCTCTCGTATGAATCTTTACACAAACCAGGTACAAATTCGGCCCACCTCCCTAACGCACATCCCCCTGCCCTCCATCCTACTCCCCGTATCTCCCAATCAAATCCTTCATAATCCCATAAGATCTGTGACCCATCAAGTCAGCAACAAGCCCTCACACCCATCCCTCCAACACAAACTTACTTCTCCCTAAACCTGTCTCCCCCATGACAAGCACTCGCATGCAAGTTCATATAAGCACAGTAAAGCCTGCCTCTATCCTCAAACCCCTCGACCGGCTCACTCTTACCCATAATCTCCACATACGCATCTGTGTACTCCTGCCGACCCAAAATTCTACTAGGATCCCCGCGCCAGATCGCAATCTCCATCTCGTGGTGCGCGTAGTATGCACAGGCGTCGAAGGCGTAGATTTCGCCTGTCGCGGTGTCGGTGCCGATGTTGCCGTCCCAGAGGTCGCCGTGGATTAAGGTGGGTTTTATTACGCGGCCGTTGGATGTGAGGGGGTTGAGGAGGGCTGGTACGACGTGCGTGATTACGCGATCAGTGCATTCCTGCAGGTCTTTCCATGGTCCGTTGATGTCGCGGTTGAGTTTCATAGCGCCGGTGAGGAGCTGGATGAAGAAGTCTTTCCAAGTGTCTTGCCAGGCTGTTTGCTGGGGTAGGTTGCCTTGACAGGTGTTCATGTGGAAACCGAATTGTCCGGTTGGTGACGCGCTGGAGAGGTGGAGTGTAGTGAGTTTCTTGCATAATTGTTCTGGGTCGGGGGGTTGGGTGGTATCCATGTCTAGGAAGGCGCAGAGGAAGAAGTAGGAGTCTGGGTTTGAGACGTTGAGTAGGCCGTATGCAAGGGGCTCGGGAACGAAGGTGGGTGCGACTTTGTAGAGGGCACACATCGAGTGGTATTCGCCTTCGAGCATGGCTTTGCCTTGGTCGCCATCTGCGCACTTTGTTCGCGTTAGCTGCGTCGTTGTCGATGGAAGAGTAGCATCTACCTTCAAGAAGTACGATTCTGGTTCGCCGTCTACGCGTGTGGTGTCTATTCTTGCGGTGACTGTCCAATCTGATGCGCCGTGTCGGTTGCAGCTGTGGACTTGAGTACCAAGAGGTAGTTCTGCTCTACGATTAGTAGCTTTACTACGGCGTGAGATGTATGATACATACTGTCTATTACGACCTGATCGAGTGGGAAATCGCCTTGGATGGGTTCACCACAGCTTGTTCCCCGAGTCACCGAAGGAACTCTGCCTAGTGACTCGGTGGGCGGCTGCCACTGCTCTACTACTTCTGGTGTGGTAGACATGATCAATCCAAGTCGTTTTGCTTGTTAATCCTTTGAGAACACCGAGTTGTGCTTGGGAAGTCCTACGTGTTTCTGTGCTACAACGGTCTGTGAAGGCTGACACTAGGTGTTCGCCCTTATGACCCATGACTACGTCGTCATGATTGGAATTCATTCACAACAACAGGGGCGCCCTTGAAGGTTTCAGGTATGTATCTTGTGGTTGAATGAGTCATGTGCATAGGCTTGTTGTCGGCTCGCGCTTTGTTCAGCATGGGCTGTACTACATTCAATACCTGCAGTCACCGAGCTAGCGATAGTTTACATAGTCGAACAACGACCTGGGTATCTCCCATACGAATAGAAACAACGCGTGTACCCTGTCCAGAAAATGCTTTTAGGAATGCAAACCGTCCATCACGCCCAAATACGCCATGCTATGCCTTGTGCTACGAAGCAGGAACAGTTTGCTAGAAAGTGTAGTTGTTATTACCACCATACTCCATCCCCGCATCATCGCCCAAATGATCAACATGCATAAACTCGTCGATAGAAAAGGGGTCTGCCATATTACCGCCACCCATACTAATATCCATTCCATCATGCGACTGCTGTTGTTGACCCATAGGCTGGCTCGGAGGATCCAGACCCTCGACAACGCGCGTGCCCTTGGGCACAGAAGCTCCAAAGGCACCGATACGGTCAGGTTGCGCCACACTGGCTCCTTTGCCCTTGCCCGTTGCATCGCCACGCGAGTTCATCCAGATACCGTTTCCGCCCTCGCCGTTCTTGACTGCTTTGGCAAAAGGCTCTTGGAAGACAAGACTTGTCTCGTACCAACGGCCTTTGATGTCGTCGATGTCTATCTTGTAGGCTGGCTGGATGAGCTTCCACCAGGCTGCGGTGCGGGTGAGGGGGACGAGCATGCGGTTTCGCCAGACCATGTCGTGGACCATGCGCGATGGAATGTTGTTGTTCTGTTGGGGTGGTTTGGGGGGAAGGTTTGCGTCTGGAGCATCCAACGTAGCGTAGCTGTAAACGTCGCCTATAGCAATTACTTTGGTGGTGGGCGGGTTGACAAGGACTTGCTCGATAATGTCAGTCACGACCATGAGATCGGTTCCAGTGGCCCCTATGCGCAGACGGACAGCCTCGCCTCTCCAGATCTTCTCGGCGCCCAGATACATGCCGTTATACTGTCGCACTTCGTTTCCCTTGTCGTCCTTGTTCGTCTTGAGGCACTCGAAGAGTGTATACGTGGTATCGATGGCTTTTGCAGCTAATATAGACGCGTCGACAGACGCTATGCCCTCGCCTCCCTGTCCGCTAATGAGTGCTCTCCAATCCGTGTTGTGGTATTCGAACTGAGGGTTCTGCTGTAGGAAGGGAAACGTGCAGCTGGGTGCAGACCAGGCGAGCCAGGGTTTGACATGGTCATCTGTTTGCACGAGTTCTTGTGGAGGCGATTCGAAAGGATGCGACAGAGGCTGAATCAAGTATGCCCTGCTCATAGGCACCTCTTTGGTAGCCCATCTTCGCACCACCAGTCCCAGACCCCAGGCTGACGTCTTGGGGCGGAAGAACCACACCACCTCGCCGCTCCGGCAGAGGAATTTGTTGTATGACAAGTCGGCTTGTTGTTCGATGGATCGTGACTGGGGGAGAGGTGTTGACTGCAATGTTGGGGGAGCTCTGATCTGTGCAGCGGCGGGTGTCGGGGCAGGCCTGGGACCGGCAACGGGCGTAGAGGGCTTGACGATGGGACTTGGGATAGGCGCACCGGTCGATGACCTTCGGGCAGGGATTTGCACTATGGGGTTGCGCCCTGTGACGTTTGTGTTTGGTATAGCGCCACTGGAGCTGTTTTCGCGCTTGATGGGTGCAGGCTGTTCTTGCTTGACTTCGACCTTGACCTGGGGCTTCTCGACGTCTCCGGCGGGCGAGCACATCTTGCACGTGCAGTTAGCCATGTCGCTGTTCTCGTCTGTGCACAGCCACAGGAGATGGGGAAAGAACTCGACAGGGCTCCTGAAGCGCTTCTTGGGGCCTTTGGGGTATCCATAGAGATAGGCGTCTTGTCTGTCGTGGCCGCCGCCTGAGTGGTTCTTGACTGTCTTCAGCTGGCCGTCTGCCTTGGTCTTGATGTGCTCGTATAGGACGTAGTTCTCGGGCAGCTCCCACAGAATGCATTGCTGCCACCGATCTGTCACATGTCAGTGCGCTGCAGCGAATGCGCCTCGCATAGCCATACCTTCGAACTGCTTCCCTCCGATCTCGCGCAGGAGCATGCCGCCCAGTTTCTTGCGCCAGTCCTGGTGCTTGGGGTCTTCCTTCTCGATGAGGCGGTAGAAGTCGCGCTGGCCCTGGTCGTTGGGCGACGTGTTGAGCTGTTCCTCGGTCGGCCCATTTCTGAGCGGCCGGCCTTTGAGGTTGACGATGTGCTGCCCATCCGATTTGGAGGCGAAGATGGGGAAGAAGGGCGTCATGGGCTGTTGCGCCATGGTGGTCGAGGGTGGTGCGCCAGATGCGCGGGCGTGGGGACTTGGTTCGCGAAATGTCGACGTGTGGAGGTCGCGGCGTTGGATAGACTTGATAGCTCGGAACGGTTCCGGAAGGAACGCCTGCAAGTCGCGCTAGGACGCGTCGGCCGCAATCGACGTATCGCCTCCGCGCCTGGCGATGCGGCGACGCTTCACTTCACTTCACCGTGAAGACGCCCAGTCGTCTTATCACGCTCCTTTGGGCACGCTGCGTCGTTTCATTTCATCCTCACCGTCACCGGCCTTGTCTAAGACTTTTCTTGCTGTGCTTTGTCCTTCTTTGCCCTGCGACAACACTTCTCTGTCAATTCCGTTGTACTGTACACCCCTGGCCAATTTACATTCACTGCGCAACATTTGCCTACAAGATACCCCACATTCGTCGCCATGGCGGGACATCCGGTCATCACCCTGGGTTCGCCCCAGCCCATCACTCCGAAGAAACGAGGTGGCATCTACGAAGACCTCCTGGCGCAGTTTGGCTCCGAGAGCTCAGCCCAATCGGCCACCAAGAGACGACGCATCTCTTCGCAGCAGGCGGCCAAGCAAGACGAGACTAGCGACAACAAACGCAGCCTGCGCGCGCAGCCAACGCCAAACTACGTCGCCTCCGACTCATCCGCAAACGAAGCCTCGCCATCCACGCCTGACCACAAGCCCAGGACCGTCGCCGACAAGTACCCTCGCGCCTCCACAAGACGAGCTGGCGCCAACGCGGGAACCAGCGAAGACGAACTCGCCCCATCAGCTCGCCCGAACCGCAAGACAAGCGCCAGAATCTCGGCCTACACCGAGGAACTGAAGATGGAGAAGCGTAAGAAGGAGCGCCAACAGTCCGGTGGACTTCGCCGGAGCACGCGCGACAGGAAGAGCACCATCCTGGAGTCCGACACCATGCCCACCCCGTCACCACCTCGTCGCAAGTCAGCCCGGCCGCCGCCCAACCTCGACACCGCTCGTGCTCGTCTCCGCGATGACATTGCTAAGAAGACCAAAGCGAGAGCGAACAGCTTCCTCGTCGCCAACAAAGACCTTTTCCTCCCACTTCTGCCTAAGAACAACCAGGTCGCGAAGCTTGTCGCTCAGGGCGATGCGCAGCCCATTGTCAAGTACGAAGAGCTCTCGGAGCAACCCAAAGGCGTCACCGCTGTAATGAAGCCATACCAACTATCTGGTCTGTCATACTTGGTCCATCTCTACAACAACGGTTTCTCTGGTATACTCGGCGACGAGATGGGTCTCGGAAAGACGCTACAGACATTATCGCTGTTCCAGTATCTTGAAGAGCTGGACGAGAAGAACGGTGTCACGTCAGAAGAGCTTCGGCCTTATCTCGTCATATGCCCCCTCAGTGTGCTCAACTCGTGGGTCACCGAGGCCCAGCGATGGGTACCACAACTCAAGGTCATGCGCTTCCACGGCGCCGTCACCGAGCGAACCCGCTTGAAGCGCGTCATAGCTGGCATGGAGGACATGAAGGGCAATGAAACCTCGCGTGCGAAAGATCGGAAAGCCTCGCGCAAGGCTGGCCGAAAGGCGGCCAAGCTCACCTCCAACGATCAGCAATCCGACAACTACAAGATTGTCGTCACGACATACGAGACTTTCCAAGCTGAGCAATCATGGTTCAAGCACAGCTTCGCCTGGCGCTATGTCGTCTTGGATGAAGGACACAAGATCAAGAGCAGTGTCACCCAGATCTCCACAGCCCTCAAGAGCATCAGTGCCGAGTATCGTCTCATCCTGACTGGAACACCACTTCAGAACAACTTGGTCGAGATGTGGTCGCTTCTGACATGGCTGTACCCTAACGTCTTCGATGACAAGACCGAGACACTTTTCAAGGAGTCTTTCGATCTCAGCAAGGGCAAAGCGAACAAGCAAACCATGACAGACGCTCGCCGCTTGCTCGAACTCATCATGTTGCGACGTATGAAGGACTCTCCTTCAGTCAACCTCGGCCTACCGCCCAAGGAAGAAATCTTGCTATATGTTCCTCTGACTCCCATGCAGAAGTTCTGGTACACCCGTCTGCTGACACGTATGGACGATGGTATGCTCGACGAGCTCTTTGCTGATGGCAAATCCAAAGAGAAGGCCGCTATCGAGCAAGACATCGAAGAGAACAAGCTATTGGCAAAGATGGAGAAAGTGGACAAGGTGGTCAGCGCTGGCGGTGCCGAAGCTGATTGGGAGGAAACCACCAAAATCTTGCAAGAAGCCGTCGCCAAGGAGCAGACCGACACCGACACCAACAAGGGCGCCTGGAAGAAGCTGATGAACCTTGTCATGCAGTTACGCAAGTGCTGCTCGCATCCGTACTTACTCCCCGGTGTCTCGCCCGATCCCTACTACCTCAGCGACCACATCATTCGCGCATCCGGCAAGTTCATCCTTTTGGAGAAGCTTCTCAAGCACACGGTTTTCAACGAAGGCAAGAAGGTCCTTATATTCTCTGGCTTCACTCGCACGCTCGACTATTGTGAAGATCTCTTGTCTCTCATCAGCAACCACGGAGAGCGCTTCAAGTCTCTTCGTCTGGACGGTAGCACAGCTCGAGCTCGGCGTAACTTGGATATCCGCCTTTTCAACCAAAAAGACTCCAATTACAAGGTCATGCTACTCTCGACCCGCGCTGGCGGCCTGGGTATCAACCTTACGAGCGCTCAGGATGTCATCTTCCTTGACGAAGACTGGAATCCGCAGATCACACTCCAGGCCGAGGCCCGAGCTCATCGCATTGGGCAAACCAAGAAGGTGACTATCTACAAGCTCTGTACCCAGGGTACTGTCGAAGAGCAAATGATGGGTCGCATTCGTAAGAAGCTTTACCTCTCGGCAAAGATCACAGAGTCGATGCAGAGCGTGCATGGCAAGCAGATGGCCGATACGAAGAAGGCCGGACGTCCGTCTCTAAGTGACGACTTGCCGCAGATGGATGCCACGCAGCTCAAGACGCTTGTACGACGAGGTGCCCAGGCACTATCGCATCCGGAAATCGATGTCAAAGAGATGGTGTCTTGGGATCTAGAGACTATGATGGCCAAGTGTCGCGATGCCCCTGCCGATTTGACCGACTCAGCGACACACTCTGAAGTCGATGAGGACAAATGGCTTTCTACCATGGAGAGAGTTGAATGCGCCGTGTTCGAAGGCAAGCGTCATCAACGCCAGCTTGACACCACCTGGAAGGCCAACACATCCGCCGCAAACATCCTTCCAGACAACATCACTCGCGAGGATCGCCGCAAGGGAAAGAACACTACCGTCATGGTTGACGGCTTCGCTATCAACAAAGAGTCCATGAACTGCGGTGACTGGGAAGCCGTGCCGACATTCGCAGGCAAAGATCCCCGCCTCGCTGAACCAGTCCGCGAGAAGCGCCGCGAGATCACCCATGAAGATCATTGTTTAGGCTGCTTCGAAGACGCAGATGCTGGACACCTGGTTGAATGCAAGAGCTGCCCCCGTGCTTACCATTACGACTGTCTCGATTCCCAGTACAAAGCCAAAGTGAAGGGCTTCGCCGGCTTCTACTGTCCCCAGCACAACTGCACCGACTGCGGCAAAACCACCAACGATGCCGGCGGTCTGATCTTCCGTTGCCGCTGGTGTCCACAAGGCTTCTGCGAGGACTGTCTCGACTGGAACGAAACCGAGTTGATCGGCGACACCCTCCCGGAATTCGAGCTCATGGGCGAGCAGCACACAACCGGTGGCTTCTACATCAAGTGTCCCACGTGCGTCGAGTCGGGCGAGGAGAGCGCGGAACAGAAAGAGTGGGTCGCGAATATGGAGAAGCAGTACAAAGACCAGCATGATATCTGGTCGCAGGAGCGCGAAGAGGCGCAGCGCCAGCTGAACGAGATCGACGCTGATGATGAGGTTACTTCCCCGCCTGCTCTTACGGATACTTCGCTGCCTACTCCTGCGGTTGGCGGCTCTCGCCTTGGCACTCCCATGTCCATGGAGCCTGTTCAGAATATCAAGAAGGGTGGCAAGAGGGCTGAGGCATTTGGTGAGTCGCGCGAAGAGAAGCGGGCGAGGCTTGATGCTCAGACTTGGACTGTTGATGAGGACCCGCTCATGCAAGGTCTTGCGGTGTCAAAGGGACGGAAGGGTTAGGTGGCGCAGAGTTTGGCTTGTTCAAAAGTTACACCCTGAAATGATGGGATTCCTTGAACACCCAATAGGGGAGCGATGATTCTGGTTGTATTCCAGAGATGTGTTCTGGGCGTTTAGGAGCTTGACATGGCATGCATGGATATACCCCCTCGATGTTCAACGCTTTTCATGGTAGTCGTTGAGAACTAGTTGATACGTTTAGTCGTACTAGCGATGGTTGAAAGGATTGAGCGAATAGCGGATGAGCATAGTAGCGCACTAGCGCGGCATGCAGCGATAATAATGAAGTCTTTGGTTAATCTTGTTGTTGAGGTGGTGATGCACTGCTCGACTCTTTGGCATTGATATCGCTGATCAGTTAGTTAGCCTTGGTGCTCTGACCCCCACAATCATCATACATGCCGTATGCATTGCCCAAGCGCATAGGCTTCACCTTCGTTGTTGCCCGCGGTCAAGCAGGAGCAGGACTCGGATCGTAGAAGCACTTGAAGACACGCGAAAGATGAGCAGGAAAAGTGATCGTAGTGTGCTACCGTTCACACTTCAGCGGACTCTGTGTTATATTGATATATTGATACAACAGTAGAATAAAAGAACTAAGAGGCGTACATCCGCCTCACCCAGAACGCCATTGCTGCCTCAAACCAGGCCGATCAAGCCTACGTAAACCCCCCTTCCCCTTCAATCTTCCCAAACTTTTCCCTACTTCCCATACCACCTAGCCACGCCCCGTCGAACCGTCACCTAACGATCCCGTATCCAGTCCTTCAAGCTAGCAATACTCGATCTTCTCCTCCTCCTCGACCCACCCCCCTCCATCCCAATATCCATACTCCGCCTCCCACTATCTATACTCCTCCTCCCCTTACTCTCCGTATCCAGCACAACAACAAGCACAGTACAATTATCCGCGCCCTTCATCTGCCCCTCCCTCGACGTCAACTCCTCCGCAATCTCCTTGGCCTCTTTCCCAGATTGCCACGCATCCACCGCCAGCCGTGTGCATTCCTCCGCCTCCTTCGCCGAACCGACGCCGTCAGACGCGAGGAGGATGAGCGACTGGCCGTGCAGGGTGCGCGTGGTGAAATGCGCTTTGTTGGAGACGAGGTCGTGGACTGCGGTTTTGCCTGGTGCGAGACCGGTTTCTACGCCGATGAGGTCGGAGAGGTCGTGGCCTGCTAGACGGTTCACGCGAGGCTTCTTGTAGTCCAGATCGCCGAGGGCGCGCGACATGCTCACGCCGCCGATGCGGGCGATGCCGGAGCGGTAGTTGATCTCGCCGCCGGCATTTTCTACGCGCCGTTTCTCCAGTGGGCTGTCGGGTGCGTGCTCTTCGCTGAGGGCTTCGACGTTCCAGCCGCTGGAGCTGACGCCGGAGTCGACGCGTGTGGGGGACTGCGGCGATAGCGATTGTGGGGATTGGGGCTCGTGGTCTGCGAAGAAGACGTGGCTGTCTCCTAGGTTCGCTTGTATGAGCAAGCTCTGCTTTGTGTCGATGAGAACGAGAGAAACGGTTGAGCCTCCGTCTAGGTTGGCGTGGTCTAGATCGCGGTCCACAGCCAGCAGAGCTCCTTGTATCGCGTGCTTATACTCGGCTACATTGGACGGCTTTTGGATGGCGATGTGCTGTTCCAGGTGTGTGTGCAGATGCTCTGCAACATGGTTTACTGTTTCTGTACCCCCACTGCGACCCAGTCGTTAGCTTACAAGCCACAACATTTGGGATTTTGTGTGACGCTGCTTACTGTCCATCATACACGGCAAAGACAGCGAGTTCTTTCCGTGACTTGATCGAACCCGGCGTCAAAGTAACATAACGGTCTTCCTGATCTTCTCTCGCACCCAAAATCTGTGGGGAAGAACGTTAGTAGGTGTAAAGAGGGATCTCGGTCTCAGCTCGGAAGAACCGGCATCTAGAAGAGCGGGAAGAAGCATGCAAGGAACACACAACGCACCCTGCTGACACCAACGTCAATAATGTTAACGCTCATACTTGATTTTTGCGTAATGAATGGAGTTTTTCGCGTGGGATGTAGTAGCAGCAGCGACAGAACGGGGCTCCCTATGTTTGTTTTTCACACGCATTATACATCGTCATAGGCCAAGCCTTGCCCAGCAACAGCTGCTTGCGTTGATAAGCGGCGGCACACGCGACCCTCACAAACAAGACGTCATCTACCCTTCCTACCTGCATACGCTGGAACCAATCAGGAAGCCGCCCGCGCCACAGTTTATTGGCTTATGTACTCAGCCTCAATAGCCTAGACCGTGGAGATGCACAAGTGTGTAGCTGCTTCTGGGTCTAGAGCACGGAGAACGTGGAGAAATCAAGGGTCATCATGTGGGGCACGTGACGTCGTGATCTGTACTGCGCGAACGGCGGGCCCCAGAATTATATATGAGCAAACGGACCTCGCGCTGAGGATGCTTGTTGCCGGTGTATGCACATGCACGCCCTTACTTGGTGTTGAGCGAGGCTACACTTGAAAGACGGGGGCTGTGTGCGCGATATTTCTCAATCGGCGGGGCAGTTTACCCCTCGTGATGCGTGGTTTTTAACATTTGGTATGTCGATCTACCATTGCTTGGCTGTTGAGCGAGCTTCCTCGTGAAGCTTGATGTACTACTGAGTATACTCGAGAGAGACTGAAGTGGTTCAAAGAAAATGCCTCATCAGCTTGCACTGCCTCGTGAGCCAAGAGCTCCTAGATACGAGCTGCTCGTTCGGCCCTTTCCGATATCCACGAGATCCGCATGCCTTCGTCCGAGCCCACAGTATTGTGTTTCTTGTTGAGCAGGAGTCCGAAAGTCCGGAGAGTACCAGAGGACTCCCGGCGACATCCAGAGGAAGGGTGGTCGTCCTCCTCAAGCCTTCCGGGTAACACCGCTGTTCATCCAGTCATCTCGTAGCTGTTTCCAAATTCCATTTCCCCTAAATCCCCAAGCCCGTTTCTCCTTCTCCAGATTCGCAAGTTTGTCCTTCAGTATCTGGTCGTCTTGCTCTCCCTCATTCCGTCCAAGCTCAACCATCAGCTCCTCGCAGGCGATCTCCTCGCTCATACACGCGCTGATGGCGCTCAGACACTCTTCGAGGTCCATGTCGTACCCGTACAGCAACTCTCTTACCGTCTCCATAGCCCGCCGATTGGTCTTCAAATGATCGAGTAGCTCGCGAGGTACTGAGGGCGACTTGACACCTTCGATCTTGACACGGCAGCATGGGCATGTGCGATGTGGGTATTTCGCTTCATCGATCTTCGGTGTTCGCATCCACTGCTCTAGACATGACTTTCCAATGATATGACCACACTGCTTGATTCGCACTGGATAGTCACCCAACAGTTGTAGGATAGAGGAATCTTGGAATGAGGTGTATGAGAGTTGGCAGATCGGGCAGCAGCCGGCGTTGTCATCGACCACAGAAGTATTGTCTGCTGTGACGGCGAGTAGTGAAAGCGGAATGGCGCACGCGAAATGGTCGACGTTGGTAAAGTCAGTCCTGGCGAGTATACTTTCGCGTGTCTCATCTATCCCGGCGTCCATATCGAATGCACGTTTCAGGCGCTCGTCCAGTTTTTGGGCGACCTCACTAACATCTCGCCGGCGTTGCGGGTAGTCAAAGTGAAGGACGGTCACGAACGCTGCCTGCAATCGCTCCTGTGGCGATGCGAGATTGCTGTTTGCGAGTGCCATGTACAGTCGTTCCAGATCTGTCCAGTCCTTTTCTCGTTCTTCCATCTGCTTCTCCATGGCGAATCTAAACATTCTGATCTCGTGTTCCCGGGTCATTGTTCTGTCATGGCAGTCGAGCATACCCAGTAGCCACCGCCGCGCGGCATCGGCTTGTTGTTCAGTCTCTTCATCGCTTATGCCGGTGAGACGAGAGATATTTGCTGGACTTGGAAAATGCTGTTGCTCTAGCTTCCGCAGTTCCGCGGGTGTCATGGAAAGTACGTCCTTGGGATTCTTGTGCCTGTACCCGAACTTGCGCAGGTCTCGTATGCTACGTAAGTGTGTACGCACACTTCGATATACTGCCATCGTTAGCAGAGGATCTCAAGATGAAGAGGTACGGCGTAAATAAATTTCAGGGTCGATGCAGGGCATGTAGGTGAGTTACGTACCTGCGGCGCTCGCCGACGCCTGATTTATTGGCGGTACCAAATCTTGAGCTTCGGCGGACATGATTGCGCAAGCTTGCAGAGAGTGCTATGGAATTTCCACGGTCGTGATAACTCGAGAGCGGGATGGAGTGGGGGGGTTCGGAAGTGGAAGGTACCAGCCTCACGTGTTTGCTCTACCACGAGGACGGAGCGACCTGAGTGGGGCAGCCCTTTCACACCCCGCACGTGACTGGTGCCTGTCGCGGAGTGAAAGAATAACCCGACTACAGGTGCAGATAATTAAGTCAGGAAAGGACCATGAATCATGCTGACTATGTAGCCATCATGGTATGCTGAGGTGATCGGTGGCAGCTGATCACCTGGACAGTTTTGCCGAACGTGCCTCTTATCCTTCACCTCGCAAAGTCCAGATGCATCTTATGTTGTACGAGAAGTCACTTCTACAGTCGATATATTAAAATCACAGCCGATTACCTAGTTATGCGCCACAGGTCCCGCGAGTGAAGCTATCTTTTCCCCAAACTACCCGAAGCAATGAGTGCGCCTATCTTTCGAAGCCACTGTAAGTCCAACTTCTTCGTCTCTGAGCTCTCATACCGCCTCTGCATCGCCAGCTCACCCCCAAACCAATCCGCCGACTTCTGTATCCAAGAGAGCCAGTACATCTGGTCCTCAAAGTCGTCAAGCTGTTGCTCGTAGTTACGAAAACGTTCCTCATCCTTGGGCCGATACTCCGGTTCGGGAAACAACTCTGTACGACAGTAGGGGCAAAGATGGCTAGCACCTTGCCCAGCATGAATCCAGAGTTCCAGACACTCCTTGTGATAGGCATGTTGGCAAGGAACAGTCAGTACCCCGGAGGAGGGGCAGATGTCAGACCAGCAAACTACGCAATCTATACCTTCCGGGTTGTCTATCTCTGAGGATATATCGGTGACGGAAATCATCGGGCCTACCCATTCCATTTGTAGCGCTTCCGAAGAAGCTTCTTCGAGCCTGTAGTGTTGCTGGTTATATGCCATCTCGATCAGCTGCAGTTCTTCGGTGAGATCGAATTCCATTGGTATACCAAATTTCTCCCGTATCTGACGCATGCTAGCTTCGTAATCGTCTAGCGACTTTCCGTAAAGACGACACTCGTTGAATATAAGTCGCTGGATGAAGGCGTAATCGTTGCATCGACCGAGGCGGCCATCAAGCGCGTCGTCGTATGGGTAATCAGTCCAGACAATTCCCTTGACATTGTGGAAGGCTTCAAGAAGTGCAGTGAATGCTTCCACTGTAGCTCTAATATCCTCAGACCAATATGACTAAGGAGTGATTGCAGCTGCGTCCAGAAGAGTCAGGGTGTGAGCCTTCCCCATTGAACGCTTGACGTGGTCATTCCAGTTGGCGTACACTGGGCTGTCTTTTCCATAAAGCTGATCAAAAAGCTCCTCTATGCTGTCACGTAGAAATATCGCGTTCCAATCATCGTCATCTGTCCAGGTAGCGCCTTCCACGTCATCGATTTCCCGGTCGACCCATGTATCATATACTCCGGTTTGAGATGGTATAGGCTGAGACGGAAAGCCCAGTCGTTTCAATGGGACACGAAACACGGCGGTCAGAAATTCTTGCTCCTCCGTTGGGCCTCGTGGAAAAGCATATAGTCTTGTTGTGAGAACGAGATTGAAAATGCTGGAAATCGGGTTTTCGCTCATCTTGTTTCGGTATCTTCGTGTGGCTCGAATGAAGCGGCCTGGAACTTGTTTGCTATGGGATCGATCGAACCCGTGGAGATTTTTTTCGCCATTTCATTGCCTGCTCTGACAATCTGTCAGATTACAACGTGCGCCGTAGTGTCGGAGGCCCATTGTGAGAAAGGTCTGCTAGCATGCGCAACGTGAGAAGACATTGCCGAATAGGTAATACAGAGTGAATGACAGTATAGGGGATGTCCATATGGTTTTCCAGTTGGTATCCCCAATCATCCTCTTGAAGTAGTCGGGACTTTGAAGAAAATCGTGTAGCAGCCAGGTCGACGAAGCGGTGGAAGCTTTCGCTCATACAATGGTCAAAGTTTCCACACTCTCCGCCTCTTCATCCCAACTGTCCAGTGTCCCTTTACCAACCCTTCTAAACACACCGTTCCCGGTATCGACTGCCGCCAAGACCAAAACCTCGACGTAGGAGGGTTGCACACAATTCTCAGCGCATCCCTTGATGATAGTGAGTTCCTCCGGAACATATGTAAACCTCTCCGGCACCGGGGGTTTCCTAAGGCTGTTGTAGGAAGCATGAGATGTGGTACTCTCCATCGGAAATCGGCACGTCAATCTGGAGTCCAACTCTTCTTCCGAAGGGGAAAGACCAAGAGGCGGGCCAGGTAGAACACCATGCTTTCGGTCGTCGTAGCGCCAGTAACCAGCCGAAGTACCGTCAAGACTATCCGAACAGGAGAAAGGTAATATGGCTTCACCTAGTGGAGGTCCTGGTGTGGTTCTAAAGCATCTCACCAAACGGAATTTCGCACATTTGGCATCCCAGAAAGCTTTCACGCAGCGAGCTTTGATGACGAATGTTGCGTCGCTAACGGACCCAAACGGATTATTGCCATCAATTCGAGTGCGCGCATCAACTATCTGGATAGGTGGAGGAATGGTTCCACCAAGAGCTAAATTATGTGAGGGCGAGTTGATGCGCCCGTCAATGCTTGCCCAGCTCCAGGAAGGCGCTCGATAATTGGCCGCTCTCGCGGGAGGATCGCAGAGATTGTTTGTGAGAGCCTCCCAGAACAGCGAGCGCTCCATTTCTCTGCGCCAATGACCTGCGAGATAGGAATCATGTGTAATTTCCTGTACGCGTGCTGCTATGCCTGCCATGGCTGGTAACTTGTCTGACTGGAACGTAAGCTGGCGAAAGCTGTACATATCTACCATGGAGTACCATAGGTTGTATATGCTAGACTGTATGATGCCTATGAGGAACATGTAGAAAGCGCGGTCGTCGCTTGCTCGGATCAGGGCCGGTGGAGTAGGGTTGCGATACAGAGGCGCACGAAGATCGAGGACATGGTGTGTTTTTCCGCCCTGAGTAACATGGGCCAGAATATGCAGTGGCTCTGACGTTACGAGACGAGTATGCTCTTCCAAAGCATCTGCTTGGTTAACATCACATACGAAGCTGTCTTCCGAACATATCGTCGTCTTCCAATTCTTTTCTTCTGGGTCCTCAAGGTACCAAGACCTCTGGAAGGCTCTGGCGAGGAACCCCAGATTGCCCCGTACGCTGAGGTTATATTCCGCTCTCATGACTTGCCCATTCTGATCTTGTGATGTTTCGCAGCAGCACCAAATTGCCTCGCGTTCAAGGAAGCATATCGTCCTTTGAGACAGGCACATCTCTTGCATCACCCATGCTCTGGAGTCCAAGACAGTGGAGCCAAGTTTTTCGGCCGAGCTGTGTACCTGCATGCAGTCATCGACGATGGTGGGTGCGGTGATGAAAGCCTGTCCTTTGTAGTCTCCAAATAATGGCGGCAGTGCGACAAAATCGTTCCTGAAGTCATCAGATGGACGCGACGGGACAAAGATCCCGGTTGAGGAGTCGTTGGATACTGATGCTGCCAGTGTCACGGTGCTATCATGATAGAATAAGCCCATGAGCGCCGAATGCTCTTCCCAGTCGCTTTGCGAGTCCTGCACGATACACAGCCTGTCGATAAATATGTACTTGATACCGAGCCGACGGCAAGTAACTATGGCGTCTTTGAACGTTTTCGGAAGCGCGGCCCAATCTATGGCATGCATATGTGCTTCCAGGTTCTTGGTCGTGGTCATACCTTCTCTTGAATGGCCCCAACAATGACTCAGAGCCACATAGCGAGCGTATATACCCTCTCCTCGTACAAGATATGGGCTCTCACCCTCTTCGGCCACATATATGACTCGCTTTGGCAATTTTGGAGTATCGTTGCAACACCTTGTGTGATTGGTCTCACAGTTGGCCAACCAGCGCTTGAGGACATCGAAATACGCCTGGGAAGGCAAGTCGTTTAGTTGAACACGACCGGAAACGAAGGAGTATTCTTTGCCGGGCAGAATGGGCTCTGAGCCCAACTTGTCGCCTAGAGAAGGTAATCAGACAACGGCAGATAGAACAGCACGCTTCAGTACCTTCCTCGACCGACAAAATCATACAGGCTACCGCCTGTTTCCACTCCGTCCAGATACCTACATATGAAGCGCCCTTCATCTTTGGGTGCCACGGGTACAATCTGCCCGGGATGATTTGCAATTTTACAGAAGCCTTAAAGCCTTTGCTACCTTCAGGAGAAGGGACCCCTTGATCACTGGCGCCTCCAAGATATAGTTGCGGTAATGAGTAATCATCTGGGTAGTTGATGCCACCGCGCAGCATCCTACAGAGACGACAGCCTGCGGCCGACGCTTCCAATGCAGCCAGATCATCGGCATGGCGATAGAAGTTCGGGGGGTAGAGATTCGAGAAAGTCAGGCCGCTGCAAAGATAGCAAAGTGACATTGTGAAAGCATGGAGCTGTAATCCGATGACGAAGCAGACGTTGAGCCTGAGGGATGGCCATAGTGCTGCCTGGAGTTCACTAATGCGGGGTGTAGCTTCTAGGCCAACCAAGGAATGAGCTGAACAGCCTAGGGCCTACATTAACGTTAGGTCACCTACTTTGTAAGGTTTTGGCTCAATGTAACCTGCAGGTGGATTAAGATTCGATGTGCAGTGGAGAAGATCAAAGGCCCCAGGCATAAGTACCAGCGTTGCGACTGTATGGGTCTAGTGCGTTGAGGGGTCTTGGCGGGCGGGAAGAGCCGCAATTACTCTGGCATCACCGAGACGCGACCAGGACATAGCACGCATACCCCTCGATCGCCCTTTCCTTGCGCACCATGACCCGATAGCTGATTCTTCTTCTTCTCTTCTTTACATCACTCACACTCTCTCACCATGGCGTCGGCGGTGTTTTTTCTCGACCTGAAGGGCAAGGTATGGCGGTCAGGCCTCTGGGAGGGCTACCTATTGACCATCGCATAGACCCTTCTGGCGCGCAACTACCGCGGTGACATCCCCATGTCAGCCGTCGAGAAATTCCCCATCCTACTGAGCGAGGCCGAAGACGAGAGCTCGGCAGTCCCACCATGCTTCTCCAGCGAAGGCATCAACTACCTCTACATCCGCCACAACAACCTCTACCTCCTCGCCCTGACCAAGCGCAACACCAATGCGGCGGAGATCCTCCTGTTCCTCCACAAGATCGTCGAAGTCTTTACAGAATACTTCAAAGAGCTCGAAGAAGAGAGCATAAGAGACAACTTTGTCGTTATCTACGAACTGCTGGATGAGATGATGGACTTTGGCTACCCACAAACCACCGAGACCAAGATATTGCAGGAGTATGCATTTCATACAGCTGTAGTATGACTCTATGCTAACAACAACTCTGTAGATACATCACACAAGAGTCGCACAAGCTCGAAATCGCACGCCCACCCATCGCAGTCACAAACGCCGTCAGCTGGCGAAGCGAAGGCATTCGATACCGCAAGAACGAAGTCTTCCTCGATGTCATCGAATCGCTCAACCTCCTCGTTTCCGCGACCGGCAGCGTGCTACGATCAGAGATTCTGGGTGCTGTCAAGATGAAGTGCTACCTGTCGGGTATGCCTGAGTTGCGACTGGGTCTGAACGACAAAGCCATGTTCGAGACCACCGGAAGGGCTACACGAGGAAAGGCCGTTGAGATGGAGGATGTCAAATTCCACCAGTGCGTGCGATTATCGAGATTCGAGAACGACAGGACCATCAGCTTCATCCCACCAGACGGCGAGTTCGAGCTGATGAGCTACCGCCTTAACACACAAGTCAAGCCTCTCATCTGGGTAGAGTGCATAGTTGAAAGCCATTCAGGCAGCAGGATCGAGTACATGCTTAAGGTAAGCAAGTCTCTGGATTACCAGTAGAATGGGCTGACACTTCACAGGCACGAGCACAGTTTAAGCGACGAAGCACCGCCAATAACGTCCAGATCTCGATTCCGGTCCCCGAAGACGCAGACACCCCTCGCTTCCGCACAAACATTGGCACCGTACACTACGCGCCTGAGACATCCTCCATAGTGTGGAAGATCAAGCAATTTGGTGGTGGCAAGGAGTTCCTCATGCGCGCCGAACTTGGTCTGCCATCGGTGCGCGGTGATGACGAGAAGGGTGGCGGTATGATGGGAGGCTTCGGTGGTAGCATGGGTGGTGTCGGCGGCGGAAAGGCCAAGAGGCCTATCAATGTCAAGTTCGAGATTCCGTACTTTACCACATCAGGTATTCAAGTGCGGTATCTGAAGATCATCGAGCCAAAGGTGAGTACAAGCCATAGTATCAGAGAGGCAGCAGCTAACATATATGCAGT